AAATTACAAGAAGTGCGCAGATTTTGAGATAAGTGTACCATCAATTCCCTGTGAGACCATTAAGGAGATCAACTGACACCCATTAGCTATTATTTCTCATTTTTCTTTGAAGCGGTCACAAAGACCTATCTAATGTTACATCTCCATAAAAACTTAATAAGCCCGGTATAATTTTGAGATTTAAGCATTTTTTTAATGACTTTTCTAGCTTTTTTTTAAATTCTTTCTTGAAATCGGCATAATTTTCCGATTTAGATTAAACCTCGTTTTAATTATTAATAATACTGGGAAACTAATTTTTTGTTGCATTGATATACCCTTAGGAAAATTTGCCATAGAGAAGCCTATGGTAATCTATGGCAACCTATGGCTACCATAGAAATTTGTATGGCGACATACCATACGCCTATGGTTACCATAGAGATTTGTATGGCACAACACCATAAGCCTATGGCTACCATAGAAATTTATATGGCAAGATACCATACGCCTATGGTTACCATAGAGATTTGTATGGCAGAACCCTAAAAGCCTATGGCTACCATAAAGATTTGTATGGCAGTATACCATAGACTAATGGTAACCATAAGGATTTGTATGGCACGTCACCATTGGCCTATGGCAACCACAGAAATTTGTATGGCAGTATACCATAGTGCAATGGTAACCTTAAAGATTTGTATGGCAGTATACCATAGAGAAAAGCTGATCCAGATCTCCACCAACGAAACAACAACTTCTATGGAGTCCTCAAAAACATCTTCTAAAAGAGATAAATATCCATTATTTCACCCCGAAGTTAATTAAATTGAACATGTAAACCCACAAGGCATTCCTGGTGAGTCTTTTCCGGCCTCCGGGTGGCCAATTTTTCCATTTTTGAGTGTTTAAAATCCGATGTTCCATTGATTTAGGCTTAGTGTATCAGACCGCCATATTAACGTGTCATCCACTACAAGTGGAATCATTCGCTAACTTTGGCTACTTATTTTAATATTTTTTCGATCTCATTCTTGGTCAAAAACAATTTAAAAATATCAACGAGAAATGTTGCTATAGCTGTATGGCAAAAGTGTACCATAGCCTATGGAAAAATATTTCGTCNCATAAATAAATTATTCAATAAAATTTTAGGTTACTTTGAATTTTCGATTTCCTAGAAATGTACTTTTAAATCGTTACTTTTTTTGTTTAGTACTTGTACTTTTTACTCGTTACTTTTTAAAATAAGAACTTTTTACTTTTTACTCGTTACTTTTTTTAAAAATACTTGTACTTTTACTCGTTACTTATTAAAAGTAACGTTGCCATATATGACCACCACACAGGCTGAGATTGGCAAATCAAGTTAAAATGCATTTCCACGCGCTATGGAGAGGTAGTGAGGAACTAACTTCACTCTATATAAGCATTTATTTATAATTACTTATAAAGAGTGCATCTATATAAGTATTATTATAAGTATATAAGTAATATTTGATATTTAATTACGTTTTATTTCTCTCCTTTATTTAGCATTTTTCGTTGGAAACTTTAATTTTACTGCTTCAAATCACTTTTACTTCTTCTCATTCATGTCTGACAAGTCTTGAAAACGAACGCCTATTTTTGAGAGCTTAAAACATGTCTACTGTTATTTCCAATCAGCATATTTTTGAAGCGAATGAAGTTTTTAAATCAAGTAATATCTTACTGATTCAGTTTCTTGGGACTATTTATTTAATAATATTGTGTATTCAAGGTTAAGGAAATAAAGTTCAAGTTAGAACATTTTGATGTAGCGGTATATGTACAACATATAATAGGTGTTAGATATGTTTACGTTCAACAGTGTACTAAAATTATTTTTACACTTTAAATTATTAAAATCATATAGTGGTATATAAGTATCTGTTTCTTTAAAAATTTAAAATTCAAACGAAAGAGAAAAAATTACTATTTCGCTTAAGTACAAAGTTAATGCCTAATTTTTTCCTACTTTCAAAACCAACTAATTAATTTTCATGCCATTTACATTCAATACACTTTTATTACCCAATCGCATTCAATGCATTTTTATTACCCAATTGTATTCAATGCATTTTTATTACCCTATTGCATTTAAAGCATTTTTATTACGAAATTTCACTCAATGCATTTTTATTATCCAATTGTATTCAATGCATTTTTATTACCCTATTGCCTTTAAAGCATTTTTATTACGAAATTGCATTCAATGCCTTTTTATTACGAAATTGCACTCAATGCATTTTTATTACCCAATTGCACTCAATGCATTTTTATTACCCAATTGCAGTCAATGCATTTTTATTACCCAATTGCATTCAATGCATTTTCATTACCCATTTTAAGACTATACTCCTTTTTTGATTTTTTAGTTTAGATGAATAATAAGAAAGGTTGAATGATAGAAACAAAGCCTTAAACAATATTAAAACTAACGAAAATCATTGCATACTTCAGTTATAATATCCACATGTTTAAGCACTGAGTCATTAAGAAAATAGCTAATTTTATTAACATTCTTAAATCCCAAGAATATATTTTTACTACATTTCAAATTATTAATGTTATTAGCGATTAAAGCAATTATATTTCAAATAATGAAATCTATATAAGTAATGAAAAGAACCATGACATGATGAATCTTCATAAGAGATCATGAAATGTGCAAACTCTAAACCACTCGACACACGTTCGATTCTCGGCAAGCGAATCTTGCTCAGTATAAAGATCATTGAATTCTTCAATCATAATATTCCTATCACAGTATTCTATTCCCAGTATTCCTATAATTATTCTTTAATGAGCTGGAGTAGATCAGGGAATAGAGTGTTCACTTCCCAATGCGGTGACCCAGGTTCGAACCCCAGCTGTGACTGGATGGTAAGAATTCTACTCCAACCACAGTGCTGACAAAAAATATCTGCAGTAGTAGACGGATCATGAGTTAAAATCCCCCTGACCGTCGGGCTAACCGTGGGAGGTTTGTGTGACTTACCTATCCATGTAAAGCAAATGCAAATTAGTCCCATCAAAAAGTCCTCTACGAAAACATCACATTGATAGTCGTTAATTCAGAATGGGATCTGCTCTTCAATGCCGGTTATAAAATAAAATATAATATTTTTTAATGTATCCAGGATATGGGAATTTATTAGTTTTTAACCCTTTATGATAAGTGCGGATGACTTTCACGGTATTGCTCTATATCACAAATACGACTTACCTGCATTTAAAAAACAAAAGTTCCATTATCGTATGAATTATGAGTTTTAAATATGCGTCATTAAACATTAATTCATTTTACCGTTTAGTAAATATTTTCTGGTAAGAAAGTTACACAAAAACAAATTAATTAAAATACACACTTTTAGTGATGTAAATAATAAAACAATGTGACTAGCTAATTTAGGTTATATTAGATTAGTGTAAATAATATAATTGATTATAATAAATATGTAATATCGAAACAAAATTTCGAGTTATGCATTTTTATATTTATTGCTGAATGTTCGAAATCAAATACAATGATTTTAGTCGAAACTTTTTGTACACTTGCATGTAATAAATTTTTTCATGAGTCTATTGTTTATGAAACGATTACTATGTAATACTTTTGTTTTACTTTCAGAGTTGAAATTAAAGTAAAAAGCAATAAATCTAACAATATATTTTTAAGTTTAATGACAAACCTTCACATATAGAACAATTAAATAATTTAAATAATTGCACGTGGTTAGAATTTTCATTCTAAAATACTGCTAAAATAACCGTCTGCAGTCTGTCCAGCCAGTTAACCGAAAAATTTCCTGTAAAAAACATTCTTAACCTTTACGGGTTTGAAACTGTTTGCAACTAGTATGGCTAAAAAAATCATGAACACAAAACTATACGGTTTTTAAACAATTACAACTAGCATAATTTTAAAACCGTAAAATAATGTAGCTGGACATTGGATATAATTTAACAACTTTATGGTGCTGTCATCTATGCGTGAATGAGTGTCTAGGGTCGGGCTAATAGTCTTGGGTCTCAAATCGGGAAGTAAAGGACACTCAAAACTCTTAAAGTGTTAAACAAAATGGAGAATTATTGAGTTGTCAACGCTGGGGAACTCGCACCACCTTTCTATCGATTACGAGCAGATTAGCCCTCTCGGCTATTATATGTATCCACCCGCTAAGAACTAAGATGCAATAAGTTAGGCCTAGTTGCTTCGATAAAATTCCAGTTGTGTAACCGTATTAGGTGAAAGCAGTTATAAGCGATTTTACCTCACAGTTAACAGTTTGAATATCATCTTATTTATGGTTATTTGACAGTTTTGTTTGAATATGGTGAAATAACAATCAAATAAATTGCTATTTAACCATTTTTTCCAAGATATTTCTAACAGTGTGTACAATTATGAGTTTTTCTTGAAGTTTTGCAAAAGCAAATTATTCGAAAATAAAAAATAAGTAGCCAAAACGAATTCCAAAAAAAAAGTGTGTGTGTTTTTAATTTATTGAAAAATAGATTTGCTTCCAGATTTTTATGAATCTAAACAATAAAAACGATTTCTTGTTGCTGCTTGCTTTGATCTTTTTGACTATTATTTGCTTCCTAATAAAAGCGAATACAATAAAAGAATTATATCAGAAAGTCGTAAGCTTTGTGCAAGGGTTAATGACTTTCAAATATATAAAATATCCAGGAAAAAGATACCAGCTCGAACGAAATTGAATATACCCGAAGCTTGCATTCAGACTAATCTGTTGGAAAATTCCATAATCTTCTCAAAATTCTAAGCTTCGCGTGTGACCGTGAAAAGAGCCCCTTCCTTTACGCAATCACGACCATAGATATTATAAAAACAGAAGTGGAACAAAAGAGAAAGTTCCGACAACCGGTGTTCCATGAACAGCACTACTTTTGGACAAAGGTCAGTCTAGAGCCCAACCCCGCCCAACTCCCCCTCTGTGTCTTTCTTTGGTACAAGTAATATAACGCCGCTAATTTGAATTGCCGGAAACGCAAAAAACAATCTGTATCAGAACACTTTCATATCTCTCGTGTTGAGTTGTGTTTTAGTCCACGACATAACATCGGCCTAATTGCTGGTGCGTGTATCTATTAAATGGTTCAAAAGAAAAAATTGTGTGTTTTTTCAAGTGACAAGTTGAGTTGTTTCTTCGTCTCACCTTCAACTTTGATCTGTTTCTTGAAACAACTTGTTCAATTTTGCAATTGGAAAATGATTTAAATAAGTATCTGTTGGATTGATACCTAGTTGAAATTAGTCAGCGTCTCTGTCTCCAAAATTCTTTTTCGTTTTGGGGAATTTGGTTGAAGAATGATCAGTCATGGGAAAGATAAGGAATTGTTGAAGGCCCAAGTGAGATCTCTAGCGGCATGGGTCAACAACACGTTAGGTAGATATAATATTTTTTGCTTGATTTGTTAGAAAAAGTGCAATTAATTCCAATATAAATGAAACATGCTAAATTTAAGCTACCACAATAAATACAGTTCTAAAGTAAAACATGTAAACAAATGTTATTTACAATAACAAAAAAAGTTTAAATCAGGCATTTTCGTTCAAATATTTAAGCCAATGAAAAAAATTGAGATGAAATCTATTGTATAATAGTATAAAGGGGTGAACTATAACTTTTTTGTATGCAAACTTTTGTATGACAATGAAAATATGTAATTAGAATAACTCTGGTCTAACAAAAGTGTTTTTTTATTGGCAAACTTCTATCTGTTAAGTAAAAATATATCATGAGAATAAGTCTGGTCTAACAAGAGTGTTTGTTAATAAGCAAACTCTTATCTTTTAATAAAAATACATAAGGAGAATAACTTGGTCAGTCAAGAGTCTTTGCTTATGGGCAAACTCTTCTTTGTAAGTAAAATTATATAATGAGAATAACTCTGGTGTGCCAAAAGAGTTTGTTAGTAAGCAAACTTTGGTTTATTTCTTATTGTTTGTTGATACGCAGACTTTGGACTATTAAAAGGTGTTGATTAATTAAAAACTTCCGATTGTCGACAAGTATTCATTAATACGCAAACTGTAGTCTGCAAATAAATACATTTTAATTGATGAGCTAGAGCGCGTCGATGTGTGTTTTAGTTTGCAAATAATTGTTTGCTAATATCCAAACTCTGTTTTTCATTTTTCTTAAAAATGTGTGAAAGTTAGTTTCATGACTTTGCACAAGATGTGCAATGATTTTTTTATCCAATCACGGTCTTCAAAAAATATAAAAACAAATGTTTAAAGTTAGAAGGAAAAAATATATTTTAAAATATAATAATCTTGACACAAAAAGTGTTTAAATTTTCATTAAAATAGATTTGTGGCAAAAAACATTTTTCACAGCAGTTACTTGTAAGATGGACAAGATTACATAAATTATTTCGCTTATACTGCAATCATCAGACAATAAGAAAAAATAGTGAAGACACTATAAAAAATTCGGATCAAATTACGGTAAAAAAGAATTGGGAGCTTGAGTGCCTTTTTAGGGTAAAATTCATTTTTTACTATAAAATTTTAGGAAACAAAAGCATATCTCAACCCTACCTTAAATATAACGTACCGAAAATATACAGTAAATGTACCCTGAATATACCGTGTCCTGATATACCGTAAATTTCACCGTAATACCGTTTTGCCGATATACCGTATTTACTGTAAAATCATTCAATTACTGTAATTAAATTAATATTAATGTAAAAATTGCGGTTTTTTTTATTTATGAAATTTAATTATTTAATTAATTAATTATTATATTTATGAAATTTAAGGTAAAATCGATAACTCGGGTGCGGTACTCAAGGTGCGAATATTTTTTAACGGTATATTATATTGTGCATGTATAATATTATTCAGTGCATGTTCACAGAGTAGTTAAAATACGCATCCATTGTCTTAAATCTTCTTAATTTTGTTAAATTCTTCTTTCATTTCACTCCTTTAGTCTTTACTAGTGGATTTTTGAAGTGTTTTATTTTTCATGCTAGAAATCTAATTATTTGTTTGAAAGCTATGCATTATACAACAAATCTAATGTAACACATTTAAAAATAATGCGTACGAAATACAAATATGTTAATTAAAATATAATTCTAACTGCACCTAAATTAAAAAAAGTCATTTGCGGTTCATATCTCTTGCGGGGATCTTAATTTTTTTCTTTTTAAATTGGTCACAAATAAGGTTTCGAACAAATGTTACTTGAAATGATTTCAAAAATATATGTTTTCATACATTTTTAAATCATTATAACAAATATAAATAAAAAAAGTATTTAAAAATATCTGTTGCATTTACAAGAAGAAAATTTTACATTTTTATAAAATTAAAGTTTCTATGCAGCTCTTAAAATTTATTTCATATAAAGTTTGTTGTAAGCCTTACTTTTGACCAAAAAAATTTAAAAATTGAATATTTTCAAAACAATCACATTTGCTCAAGGGACAGTTTTGATTCCAGGACTTGCAATTAAGTAATATTTTGATTAATGTCTTTAAAAATTTCCAATATTTTCAAATAAAACTTCTGGTACATGTGGAGTTTTTAAAGTTTATTGTTCACTTAAAATTAATTAGGTTCTTAACATCAATAAATGAGATAAATGAGGTTCAATTTTAGAATTATGTAAGTCTAGTTGGAGACAAAAAATTCTGGTGATATCAGTATTGATTATTTGTATAGTGACAGTTTACCGTAAATTTTCAAATTTCTAAATTTTGGTTCATATTAGTAAAAAATACAAAACTGAAAAGTAGCTTTAACAGAATAAGTGATTGTGACTTTTATGCCATGCTCTAGGGTATCATGATAAAATTATCAAATTTTACCTCATTTACTTACTTTTATCATATATTATAAAACCCTATTTTATTGTTAATTTAACCAAAATCATTACTAAAGTATTTTGGTACAAATTACCGAGCTTTTGGTGTTCAAATAAATCCATAAACAATAATAATTATTACATATTCTGATATTTTTACCATATTTTTCTCTCAGTGCAATGTTCTCTCAGAAAAGAAATCTATTTGAAATGATTCATTTTTACCAATTTTAAGGGTTAAAATTGTACGCAGAACAAATCTTCGACTTGTATGTGTTTTTTTTTTAAATGTGTCTGAAAATTTTGTAATGTATTTATTTTATACGTTTTACTCTTTTAAAATATTAAGAAAATATTTTAATAGAGGATGTTTGGAATTAAAGACATATTCAGACGATGATCGCCCGAGATTTAAAACAACGTTAATTTGAAAGATAAATGAGCCATTCAAAGTTTCAAAATATAACAAAATCAGTGTTTGCAATTTTTTCAAAATACTTCTTTTTTGCCTATAAAACTGTAAGACTTGTAAAATAAATAAATGAAGGGGAAAGATGTGATTAATAATGTAAAAGAACTTAATGAATTAAACTTTTAAACAATATGCACATTTTTCTACAATCCCTACTTTTCTTTTTATTAACTTTTTACAACTCATTATCTTCAATTTCAACACCTGTCGCAAATATTTTTTTTCTTCTGCTATGTTATGACTAGATAAAAAATCAAAAAAAAAAAATTAGAGCAATATGAATAGCAGCACCAATAGTTCTTATGAATTTTTAACTCGAGACATTTTATTTTATTTTATAAACGGCGTTGAACAGCCGATCTGATTCCGAGTTTATACTATTACTAATATTCAACTCCGTCTCCGTAGCCCTGTAATTTCGAACATAACCCAGAAGACAAGGAAACTCCTTCACTAAACATAGGGACAAATCGGCATTCGTGGAAGACTTTTGGGTGCAAATAACCTACGTTTGCTTTACTTATAGAGAAAAACCGCGAAAACCACTCATTGTTATCCCGACGACAAAATGATTCTAACCCATAATCTATCTACCACTGAGGATATTTTAGGTCAACACTGTGGTCGGAGTGGGCCTGGTGCAGAATTCGTATCATACAACCATCGCTGGAATTCGAACCTGGGTGACCTCATTGGAAGGTGAACGCTCTATGGATCTAAACTCGGGACATTATAACTTTCTTCTTTACAAAAACAATTCTATCAATAAAATAACGCTCGCTCGCAATTTTTATTAAATGAATAATTAGAATATGTATTCAAACCTAGTACGGAAAAAGCAAATAACAGTTTCTTCTTCTAAAAACAACTCATACTGCACTTTTTTTCAAAAAGGAAGTTTTTGCCGATCCACAGTTTTCACAGGATATCGCTCCTCCAGAATTTTTGCATGTTCTTGCATCGACACTGAATAAAATCAAATTTTAAGCAACTACAAAAAAAAGTGATGGTAATTATATTATTATAAAAACGACATACTTAAAGAAAATTATTTGTTGTATTAAGTGCAGTTTTAAAAACTCACACGGTAAGAAAAACATAATACACAGAGGAAAATAATGTTAAATTTTTATATACAAATCAATAAAAGTTTGCGCTGCAAGTCCGGATATTTTATAACCCCACCTTGTGTAACGAAATATTTGAAAGTTTGATTTTATTTATTTATTTTTCCAGGGTCTACTCTTGTAAGTGCAGAAAACTTAATTCACAAACTTTCAACTGGAGTTATTTTATGCAAACTAGCAAAGTGTATCCAGAAGAAAGTTGACGAAGCAAGTGACTTCCCTGATAAATTGGAGGTAAATTTGGTATTCGAAACTTTCCTTGCAATCATAATGCATTATTTTTTATTCACTTTTCTTTATTTTACTTATAGAATTGTTTGTATTGTCACTGTTTATATTTTTAATATGCTTGTATATTTGTTATTTGTTGTTTAGCTTACGTTTTTAAACTTAAATGTAAAAGAGAAATGTTATGATGTTGTAAATTTAGTATTCGAAATTCTCCTTTCAATTTTAAAGCATTCAATTTTGTATTCATTTCTTTTTATTTCGCGTATCGAAATTATGTTGTTTGCTCACCTTCAAAAATATATTTTTAATAATTTCGTTACTCGTTTTTCAGCTTACGTTTTGCGTTTTAAAAATTCTCTTGCAATTTTATATACATATATTTTAATTCAAAGTATTATGATTGAATTTTATATAATATCTAACTTTTCTTCGTTTTTTTTAAACCTTTTATGTTTTAGCTTTCATTTCACGTAATTAAAGTGTAAAAAAAGAAATTGCATTACGGAAAATTTGGCGTTTACAAATTTTTTGTAATTTCAAATTATTCTCTTTTTTTTCATTATTTATTTTGTCTGCTATTTTTTGGTCTGTTGTATACATGCTTTCGTTCTTTAATTTTTTGCTTCTTTCCACCTGTTAGCTTACGTTTCTAAAATGCTTAAAATTTTGTGAATTTAAATATTACTTTGTGCTCATTAATATGCAGAGTTTATTGTTTCTTCACTTTTTACACGGATTTTAAGTGCATGCATCTCGGCCACTACAGAGACCACATAGTATATATAAATACATGAACTATGTTATACTTTTATTTACATTATATGCTTTTATTTTAGAATTTGTCAAGTAAATTATTCTTATATTTTACATTATTGAAGTCAGCCCAGGCGATACAAAAAATCTCGTTTTTTATTAAGTTTTTATTTTTTTATTTATTTTTCTTTCATTTTATTCTTTCATTTTTTTTCCTTCAGTAGATGCCCCCTCATCAATACATTTTAAACAAATCCAACAACGTCTAACGAGAGAATTCTGCTAGGACATTTTCTTCCTTTAGAAATAAAATATATTAATATATTTTCTCGATAAAGTCGGTAAAAGCAAAATACTAACCCTCCAAGTTATTCCCAATCTATGTGAGAAAAACAATGCAGCAAGCTCTTCCTTTTCTTAAGCTTTGATTGAATGAACCAAACGATCAATATATAGAATCAGTGGAATTTGGAACATCTTCGTTCATTATCTATCTTATTTCAATGCTTTTAAAAAGATTCATTATTACATTATTAATTAATCTAAGTGATTAATGAAAACTGCTTGGGTGTGGATAGTTTCCGCCTATGAAGAACTTTTTTCCCCTCCAAATCGGTGCATTTAGTCGTAATACTCTTTTTTTTTTCCTTTTCCCATAAAACTGACGATTTTATCCTTTTGTGTCGTAATTTATTTAAATTTTTGGCTATTAAGAAAGATATTCATTATGAAAAGTGTAATATTCATCGCTAGAATTGTTAAAATTAAATGACTTTTTTTTTGTTGAAACACATTAGAAGAGTCACGCCTAAATTTGTTCAGGAAAACAAATGAAATTTAGTTACATTTGATATAAATGTATGATATATCAATTTAGCAGAATATAGTATGTATTACTTCGAAATTTTTAAACATATTATCTTGACGGATTTTGTTTTCGTTTCAGTATAAAGACAATGCATTTGATTATTACAGAGTTTTAATTCAATCATGCAAATCGACAGCTATATTTCGAAAAAAGTATGGTTAAAACTCTCAGAATATGGTAAAATTACCGTGTTTCTGGCTCTATGAAAACACCAAAAGAACTCGGTATTTTTTACTACAGTGTTTTGATGTTAATAAAATCAAAAATAAAATATGGCTTTGTAATATGTGATAATATTTGGTAATTTTATCACGATATATTAGAGTATGGCATAAAAACAATTTATTTAGTAAAATTTACTTTTCAGTTTTGTATATTTTACTAAATGTGTGGTAATAAGAGTTATAGTTTTAAAAACCGGAATTTCGGTAAATTGGTAATAGTGAAAATTACTAAAATGGTTTAAGAACTGGATACTTCGTTTTTTATTACCAGAATAATGTTTTTCACAATGAATGTCATTACCATACTGTGCCAAAATTTCTTACTCCATATCTGATTAGCAAAATAAATAATGCAAAGTAGAAAAATCGTTCAAAAGCTTGCGAATTTTCCCTGATTCACTGAAATGGTTTTTTTTAATTAAGAGTGGGGTCAATTGTAACAGGGTACGATTGTAACAGAGCAAATATTTCGAGTGATTCGGTTCCTACGTGGCGCACAAGGTGTATTTAATAAATCTACATGTACACCCCTTCTGGCAACCATGTTTGTGTACTTTTGAAAGAGTTATATCACAAAAGATATTTTCACGCTACGTAAGTACTTTTTTTGGTGTTAGAATATTATATTGTAACATAGTAATTTTGTTTAAACAAATAAAAATTATTAACCGAATATGTAAGTGGACACCTTAATTAACATTTTAAGAAAAAAAAGATTAGTTTTGTTAATTAACAAGCATTGTTTTTAACAAATGAAGCTGAAATGGCGACTTGGGGACGATTGTAACAATAAGTAAAGGGACGACTGTAACAGCTGAAAATAAATAATCTTATGTTTACAAACCATTACTTAACTCTTTAAGAACCACCAATAGTTTCCTATATCATTTATATTATGTTGCATGTGCATTATTTTATTTGTCACCTTTCACAGCATAAATTAAAATTTTTAACCCCTTAAAGTTAAAAGTTTAACCCTTTAGGTCTCTGCTCATTATTATTTTTACTCCTAAAATATCACTACTATTTTGATCAATAAAAAAATATATCACAACTATGATAATATGTATAATTAACTATGTTTTAGTTGAATTTATGAACTGTTACAATTGACCCCGTAAGTGGGGACAATTGTAACAAGTGCGCGACTGTCAAAAATTGTTAATCACTAATATAGTAACATTTAAAATATGGTATTTATTTTTTTTCTAGTAGAGGATAGTCTACTTTACTCGTCTGTCAATTAATACTAATAATATATTGGATTTTTTGTTAGTTAAAAATAGTTAAGCAAAAAATGTTACAATTGACCCCACTCTCCCCTACCATTTGCTTACTGGAACACAGCAATGTAATAGAAAATAAGAATAATATTTTTAATTACACTGCATTACTAAAATTCTGAAGCAGACTACAACTTTAACAAAAGCGATTGCTTATTATAATTAACTTTATTCAATAAATGGACGCATTTTCGATTTAATTATGACAAATTTCGACAAAGTTATGATTAAGTATGATAATGAGCACTTTTCTATAGAATATTTCCCTCTGCCGTTTTTTTGCTTATAACTTACAAAACCTTTAATTATAATTTAGAATATTAACAAAACATTTTGAAATTTAATACAAAATTCAGTTAAAATTTATTTCGGAAATGTAGGAGCTCTGAAGTTAATCAGTTCAACCGTGATCAATTATTGGCTAAAGACACTAGCTATCATTGAAAAGGAACGATTCTTAGTGAAGACTTAAAGTTCGCCCAGCTTCAGATTCAGATTGGGTTCAGATTGAATAATACTGAGTTTTTCTCTTTATTATTATTCTTTTTATGAATGCAAAGAGAAGGTTATAGACGCACGGAAAAAGATTCCACTAATTTTCACATGGAAATAGAATCCTCTAATAAAATTACCGCAATGTTTGGTAATGACGTTTTCGGTTTAAAAAAAGTATGGAATTGTATTTAGTTAAGCCAAAATCCCCGTATTTAAACTATTATTCATTTGACTGTTTTTCTGCTCATAGTAACGGTTTACTGTAAATTCTAGTTTTCCAAATGATAGTTTTTATTACCGCATATTTAGTATAACTTACGAAACTAAAAAGTAAACTTTACCAAATAAATTGTTTTTAAGCTATACTCTAAGGTATCGTGATAAAATTACCAAATTTTATCCCATATTATAAAACCATACATTGTTTATTTTACCAAAATCATTACAGAGCTTTTAAGTGTTGCTATAGAGCCAGAAAAGCTGTAAATTTTACCATATTTTCATTGTAATATGCATGTAATCAGGATTTTAAAAAAAAAAAATACTTACAAGATTCAATGTTATAAAGATAAGCTGATAGAAAAATCTTAGGAATACATATAGCATTTGAACTTGTTGTAACCTTAACAAGGTATAAATTTAGTTACATTATTTTGCTTCATAAGCTTTATTACACGCAACTCTGGTCCAACTTGAATAGAAATATAGTTTAGTTAACCACGTTATTAAGGCTGCAACAAATTTGGACCCTATTTTTATTCAATTTACCAATGTTATAGTTCAGCGTTTAACCAAATTTCCTAGAAGTATAAACATAGAAAAAAATTGATGCAAAAGTGAAATAAAAAAACACCAAACATTTTGTTGACTTCTTAAAATAATGAAATATTATGATTTTGTAGTCTTAAAGAAGCAATATTTACGGGACTATTACTTCACAATAGCAAGGTTAAAGGAACATGAATGGAGATTAAAAAAAGAAAAAAGCTTAATTGTTTTCTTTCAAATGAAATAAAATGATGTTTTCTAAAGTGGACTGCATCAACGAATACCCGTACTCATTAAGAATCCAGCTTTTGTTACTTTTGTTAAGAATTTAAATGTATTTCTGAAGAATGCAACAATGACAGAGCATAAATGCTTACTGAAAAGGACAGAGCATTTTTTTCTAACTTTTTCATTACGTTTAATCCCAAAATAAATGTCCGTAAAGAATTCAATTTATGACAAAAATTCATTTTCTAACGACCTTCAGGACTTTTAAACAATCACAAAAAATTAACGAATCTTAAATACTTTTATAACCGTGACTTTTTTTTTATGTTTCTTCAAATTTTCCGCTTTTAAGTTTATAAGAACGCGATGTTTGTATGCTTTCAATTGAAAGAATTCGAAAAATGTTTGTTAAGATGAAGAAATTCTTTTGTTATATAAAACGGAGTTTTCTATGTTTTTTCAAGTTTTAATTCATTCGGAAAAATAACTGTCTGAATATATTAAATTAAATAGTTATTAAGTAAACCATTAGCCCATTCCTAATCTCACGCTGCTTAAATTAACTCATTTAATGATGTTTTTATGCTTGTTTGCAATATAATCTTTGTTTTCAGTTCGAAACAAAAAATTTTTAAACATATATTTACCCTTTCACGTTAAATTGACAATATAAATAACTTAGTCAGCATACCATCATATTAGATCTTCATAACGTTTTTTACTTTTCTCCAACTGCATTACTTCTTAAAAAAATAGAGTCATTATGAATAAAGTTTCTTCACTTCGAAGTATTTTAAAGAAATCACATAACTGTTATAACTGCCCCCAGTGATGGTTAATTAATTGTTGTAATTGGTACTACTACTGGTATGGTGGTAATATTACTAGTTGTATAATAATAATAATAGGTTTCAAATATTTTAGTATAAGAGCTTAATATAGTAATTAGCTCTTATAGACCTCCTGAAACTAAATAGAATAGAAAATAATTTCTTAATACAGTGGTATCTATGTGTTAATTAATGACTTAAAACTAAATTTTTGCTTTTAAACAGTATACACTGTTTAAAAGCTAACAATCGTGAAACAAAGTATTTAGTAATAAGTATGCATACACATATTAAACATGCAATTATTTATTGCAGTCGCTGCACAGTCGATGTAGATTGGATGAGTGACTATCATTACACTTTGTTGACATCTAGTTGTTGGAATCTTTGAGCCCAACCTGAAGACCAAAAGAGTTTTTGGGCGCACCATTAATATGAACACTTCTTTTGAGAACTGTTATCTAAATGAAACTAGCCAGAACTTGGACTGCTGTCCGCACTTCCTTAGAAAGAATGAAGATAAAAATCACTGTATTCTTTCTTACATCGAGGGAACTCTAACCCATACACTTCCTTGCCGTAGTGTCCACAGTTCTAATGCACAGTATCATTTCGCCCATTGAGTATATTTTGCATTAGCACTGTGGTCAGTTCGAGTTTAAAGCAAGATGAATTATTCATTTATTGCCAGGGTTTATACTTGGTTCGCCTCAATCCACTAATCCATTTCGATTTATATATATTATTGAAATGAATAGCAAGTTTATCTAAGAAGTAGAAGTATACGCAAAGTATCGGTCACCTACTGAGGATATTTTAGCATTATCGTCAGTTCGAGTTTAAAGCTAGACGAATAATCCGTTCATTGCCAATGTATTATACTTGGTTCGCTTCAATGGAAACTACGAATCCCTCCTAATTCATATATATTATTAAAATTAATAAAAAATTGATATATTATTATTTTCTCGTCGATATCTGATCGATTTGTGTATTATATGCCTAATTCACGCTGATTATGGTGATCCTATGGTGATTACAAAGATGTTCCTAAATGTAATCATGATTTCCAGATTTAAGTCTTATTAATATCAATTAACGGTTGGACAGTTTTGCTTTTTCCTTACCATGTAAAAATACAATTAATTAGTGTGTATAGTTTTGAACACACAGATGACAGTTCGGATTGTAATGATAAACCTAAATTCTGGGTTAAATTCTCAATGTTATCAGGATAACCATTGAGAAATTTTTATGTTTTAATTTTCTATTTAACGCACTGGCGAGTTTCACTCTAAAAGTTCTAATCTTAAATCCGTTTATGGCTAAACTTGACTGTACTTACCTACTGCCTGATTTTTGTAAAAATTATTTATTTATTTATTTTGCCTACTCCTCCTGGTTAAAAATTTTGAAACTTAGGCAGTTCACCTTTATGAATGCAAATTTGATACATAAGTTGTTAAAGGCAGTTTATAATCGATATAAATTCAGCAGAATGTTTATATGCGAGTACGGATGTATATACCTTATACAAGTCTGCAATTTTGAATCGATTCGCACCAAACCTTGGTGTAAATAAGCTCAATAACACGGCAGTCCTAACTGTTTACTTTAGAATTCTTTCTGAATACCGGTTCATGTGCTTCGTTTTTATTCTTACTGAATCTTCGAAATTGAATTAAAGTTTTTGTTACTGTATAATAATTTTTTCAAAATATAATTTTTTCAAAATATAAACCTTGTCATCTTCTATTGTAAATAAGTATTTATATTTAGAAAACACTAATTTTAATTTTTTTTCTTGTTCTTTTTCTTTTTAACATAAAATTTCTTTTCCTAGCAAAATATATCATGTTTAGAATATTATACTTTCATATATGTAAGAAAAAAATATAAAAACTGAATATCATTAAATAAATTAAAGTGATAAATGTTCCACAAACGAAACATATCTTACAGCTATAAAGAATTCTCACTTTAGAATAAAACTTTGGATATCACTATTATTATTTAGATCTCTTATGGGAAAACTGCCATTTTATTCTAATGTCCAGGCTGATCGTATTTCCTTTAATTTAAGTTTAGATAATAATATTTTTCTCTTTAGTGTCATATGCATCTGAAGTATTGGGAGCGAGCCAAGAAAGAAACTTTTTTTGCCAGAGACAATGCCGAGATGTTTATCCGATGGTGCAAAAGTTTTGGAGTCAGAGACGCTGTTCTCTTTGAATCAGACGGACTTGGTGAGATTAATTTATTTTCCTTCAATCCCCTTCTTTTTTTTCAATCTTTTTTTACTTATTTCGTTCTTCAAGAAATGTTGCCACGTTAAATGTGAACCTGGAAATGATGTCAGTGTAGGCAGCTTTAGCTTTATTTTATTTTAGAAGCTGTCAAAGAAAAGGCATTCGTCTATTTCTGGGAAAGAGAGTTCTTGAAAAAGATATAATTCACCCAAAAGTTCGATTAAATTAGTCCATGAATTTTATCAGTTATTGCAGGAGTAAAATTACTTAATTATGTTATTAAAAATTGCATGAATTTTAATAAGAAAATTGATTAAGATTACGACAGTTGATTATGAAAAGGCATTTGTCACTATTTCTGGGTAAGTGTGAAAAAAGATAGAATCCTCTGAAAAAAACCGAAATAGATATAATTCTCTGAGTAGTTCGATTAGACTATTTGGTTAACTATATTACTTTTAACAGTAATTAGTTGCTCTAAAATTATTTGCTTATAAAATTACAAAAATAAATATATTTTTAATATTAAAATTGCCTGAGATTAGAACAATTGATTCACAAAAGGCATTCGTTTATTTCCAGGAGAGTGGGTTTCTGAAAAAGATATAATTCGCCGAGTAGTTCGATAGATTACTTAGTAAATTACATTAGTTTTCACAGATGTAAATATATTTATTTATAACAATCTATAAGTAAATTATATTTTAGTTATGGAAACTAATTAATATTGCGACAATTGATTAAGAAAAAGCATTCGCCTGCTTTTAGGGTAGAGAGTTAATGAAAAGGGTATAATTCACCGAGTAGTCCATCTAGATTTCTGGGTGTTAAATTCTAATCCAAGATTTGAAATGATAAGTAATGAGCAGTACGTTTACCCATTACCCTAACCGAATTCACAACACTTTAAATTGTTTGTGTTAATTTCCCCTTTTCTAAATCTTATATACACACTGGCCAATGAATTGGAGACCTCAAATTAATATTTTATTGAACAACCATCTGTACAGATAACACACAGTATTAGTGAGGACATCGGTTTTAGAAGCTGAAACCTGAGAATCTGAAAACTTAAGAACTTGAGAATACCATTTATTGGCTGCGCAGACTTGAAGATCCCTTCACCTAGATAGAAGAGGAGATTACTAACAGATGTGCCCTTCCAACAAGCAACAAATATTTTTCGATTTGATTAAGATCCGGGCTTTGCAGAACAACCAGGGAAGGGGTTAGATTGATATTCATTGAAACAATTTTGAATGTTTTTGGCAGAGGAATAAGTACATTACAATCCAGAAAAAAATCCCCCATCTGAGTGAAAATGTAACATACAAGGACTCACTTGATATGTTAATATTATTAGATATAGTCAGGCTTTTTGTTTACTCACAAGAAACTTCAGAGAGCCACATCCATACCAGCAGAAAACTCTACATTTCCTCTTTTAATTATATTTATAAGCCACCATTTTAAATGTAAGGAAGCAAAATATAGTAAAATAATTTAAATTACTCAAAATATTTACTCTAATATTTTAAATTACATGAAGTATTACAAAAAATGTAAGTGCCTTTGAAAACAATAACAAAAATGTAGGTCTTGTAAATTGATATCGGGACTTATATTTAATTAAACTTAATATACGTTTAAATTTTTATGACAAAAAATGTAAGTGCCTTTGAAAACAATAACAAAAATGTGGGCCTTGTAAATTTATATCGGGACTTATATTTAATTAAACTTTATATGTTTAAATTTTTATGAAATACTACATCAGAAATGGTGTTTATAAAATATTCCGCTTTTATACGCAACTATTATTTAAAACAATGTTGATTTTATAGTTCTGCAAAGACAACCTCGAAACGTAGTTTTATGTCTTCTGGAATTGGCGAGCTTGGCTTCCAAGTACGGGGTCCTCCTTCCTCCACCAATTCAGCTTACGAAACAGTCTGCCAAAATTATTCAGGATGAGATGTCAGATTGCTCTGATGAAGACATCTACTTCACTTCCTCCATACCTTCACCAACAAAGTTCCAGCGAGTGGATTCAGGATGTTCCAGTGGACTAAGAAGTCCCTCGCCCATATCCACCTATTCCAAAACTTCATCTCCAATCTCTTCCATGAAACGAAGTGGCATCCCCCTACGCAAGACAGACAAGAACGTATTCGTCACCATCAACACTCGCTATTGCAATCGCCTTCCGGAGAGCACAAGTGAAACCAGACAGTTTTCGTCACGGACTTCGTCTCCAGTGATGAGACGAAGTGCCTCGTTGGCGAGAACTGATACCATCAGCAGTCGAATGAGAACAAGTTGCACATTGAATCGTAGTTCTTCATCTCTTGCATCGTCTAAGAGTTTGCAAGAGAAAATTGTAAAGAAATTTTTTGATGAACATTTGTCGGAAAGAGAAAAGATATCGATTTTGGACAAAAGGGTAATTAAATACTAATGATAATTTTTTTTTTGCTCAACTCATATTGAAATGCTAAATTATGCATAAACTAAACTAAACTCAGTGGTGTGACAGCCCACAGAGGGTCAAGGCTTACTGTGCCCATGGCAGTTTTCTTGACCTTGGGCTCTGGGGTAAAGGAGCAGATGTCCCGGTTTGGTGGTCAGCCGAACGCGAAACCCCCGGTGCTTAGTTCCCAAGCATGCTTGGTACTCATTTATCTACCCTTTGAACGGATGAAAGGCTGAGTCAACCTTGCCCGGCCCGAAGATCGAACCCAGGACCTATGGCACGGGAGCGCGAAGGTCTACCACTCAGCCACCGGGCGTCAAATTTTGAGCATATTGCTGGTAAAAAGCATGTATTTGCCCAATTAAAAAATTAATTTAAGATCTGTATTGTCAAATAAAAACGAAAAAAATTCACTAACTTTTATGTGCCGAAGTGTTCACACAAGCAAGCGTTATTTCACATAAGATTAATATTCAGACAGCAATTAACGATCTATCTCCCGGGCCGTGGTGGCTCAGAGGATTGAGCACTCACGTCCTTACGAGATGACCTTGGTTCGAATCCTAGCGCTGGCAGGTTGAGACGCACCCACAGTAGTGCTGTTGTAAAATATCCTCAGTGGAAGATCGATCATGGATTAAAATCCCCTTGCCATAGCGCTGACCGGGGTAGGGTTTCGTGGTTTTCCTTTCCATGTAACGCAAATGCGGGTTAGTTACGTAAACAAATCCTTCGCAAAGGATTGTTTGTCCCAATGCTTGATCGAAGAGTTCCCTTGTCTTCTGGGTTGGGTTTAAAATTACAAGATTACGGAGTTGGAAACTGATAGTCATAAACTCAGAATTGGGTCAGCTGTTCAACTCCGGTTATGAAGTAAAACAAAACATGCACATGCCTGAATGTTTCCTTAATCCTAAGGGTTTCATTACCAAGGTCATTGGGCTATTTGGACGAGACTATTAGGACAATTAGAACAGATGTGCTAGCCTTCATGCTTACATTCAGACCTATTATTTACAGCAAATCTATGGAATATTATTAAAAATAAACGATATTTTGTAGTTATAATCAATTGTTTTTTTTAGATAATGGAAGTTGCTCGTCAGTACCATAAAGAAGAAAGCAAGATTCGTCGATTATCTGAAGGCCGTTATAGTATCAGTGGAAAAAACGTGCATCTAAGGGTAACAATTTTAAATTCCAGATTTCAACTATTTTTAAAAATTTGAAAATTTCAAATTCTTGGATTTTGATTTTAAAATAATCATTACAAATTACACACAGAAATGAAGATGCTTCCTTAAGACCATATATATTTCTTGCATTCTTCTCAAAAACAAAGAAAAAGAAGTATAGATATTGAGGATCGTGAATCAGCATAAAAGTAAGGTAAAATCAAAAGTACCATCAAGATGTGACAAAACACAACTGGAGAAGGCGGCTGAAAGGATTATCAAAACTTATCTGATTGCCGGTTGAAATTTCTAGCTATCGTCTTCCAACTTCTGATTGGTCAAAAAATCATAAACAAGGTTTGGTGTCTCGTGCACTCAGAATCTAGAAAAAGTTTTTTTCAGATGTTGGCTAATACTAGTTTATAACTTAATATAAATATTTTACTTACCTCGGATCAAATTTGAATACCTAGGAACAACTATCACTAACAAAAATGATATGAATATTAAAATGGATCTATGGTTGATGCTAGCAAACAGATGCTACTCCGGTTTAAAAAACCAACTAAGATCACGACTCATAAACGATGGAACAAAAATTAGTATGTATAAAACACTAATCCTACCACTATTTCTCTGTGGCAGCAAAAGCTGTGCACTGAGCAAACATATCAAAAATAGGCTGCTAATTTTTAAAAGCAAAATACTACTCGAAAGTGTCGGTACTGTCCAAGTAAATAATATTTTGCGAATTCTCCACATCCATGGTATTTATAATGTTGTTGTTGTAGCTCATTTACGTCGCACTAGAGCTGCGCAATGGGCTATTGGCGACGGTCTGGGAAACATCCCTGAGGATGATCCGAAGACATGCCATCACGATTTTGATCCTCTGCAGAGGGGATGACACCCCTGCTTCGGTAGCCCAACGACGTGCACGCGAAGTCGAGCACTTTACGGTAGAACAGTTTAACGAGGACCAATACCGCCTACCCTCGGTCTCTACGCAGGCTGATCCAAGTGGTCACCCACCCGCACACTGACCGCAGTCAGTGATGCTTGACTTCGGTGATCTGCTGGTAACCGTGTCTGAACGATCAGTCCACTGCGAGACTATTTATAATGGATACAGGCATCCAGATATAATAAAAGTCATCAAACCAAACTGGAAAAGGTATCTTTGGCACTTATTTTACTGAGAAAACCACAGTCTCACAAAGATATTGACCTTCAACAAGCTAGGTAGTAGTAGAAAACGGGGAAGACCCCGATGGCTTGATGATATTAAAAGGGATCTAAAAGTATTAAAAGTAACTAATTTTAACAACAACAAAAAAACAAGCATCTGGCAGACTCTGTTGGAAAAAAATTGATAAGACTGCCCTGGTCTGCTCAGGACTGTAGTGTTAAAAGATTATTTATAATAAGGAAATCTCGTTTTCTTTGGTCGTTGTTATTTAATATTAAAGTATATACATTTTTATTTCGCTTTCGACAAGGTTTAAGAAAATATACGACATAGGCAGTCTTTGCGGAACACTCTATGTTAAATTTTTATCTATACGTTGATTTTTATACTTGATTGCGCACAAAAAAATACCTTGATAGCTTTTCATTTAATGAATCGTAGTTTCTTGTAATAATAACGTGCTATCTTATGGTTTTATAAACTAACCCTAACTATGCTATTTTTGATGAAGTTAATCTTTTAAGTTGCGAAATCTCAAGCAAAAAATTTACTTTTTTCGAAAAAACATATTTTCTTACGTATGCGGTTACTTGAACCGCAAAACATGGACATGGTCAAAATCTGGAAAACATGGTTCCAAAAATTTATGTAGGATAGAAATCAAAAATTAAAGTTCCTTAGTGTTAATTTCAATTCTCGTTTATTTTCGTCTATTTCAAGAATTCATAGCTTAAAAAAAATTGTAAAGAATTTTAGACGATTAAATTTTAATCATTCGAATTTAATGCTGTTTACATTCTTTTTGCATTAAAAAAAAATCCTCTAATGGCTTTAAATTATTTTTCAGTGTTAGAGTTTACTATTTTAGTTTTGGCATGCTATTTATAAAACAATTTTATTCCAGATTGTTCGAGGCAATAATGTCGTTGTACGCCTGGGAGGAGGATGGGATACTTTGGAACATTTCCTTTCGAATCTAGATTTCGACAAAGCTCCATGTGATATTTGTTCACGCACAAGGACTTACGATGGGAAGAAGAGAGTAACATGCATTAAAAGAACCTATCCTGTAGCCACACTCTAATATTTTCTTTTAATTATTATAACACAGAATATTAAACACTTGAATGCATTAAATAAAGCTCTTACCGGATATTCAGTTCTAAAATATTTTTTGAATAAATTCACAACAAATAAAACATGATGTATAATTACAATTTTCAAAAGTAAATTTTTCCTTTTCATTAACATACGAGTTTCATTAATTGATAACAGATGCTTCAGGATCATTCAATTTTCATTTCATGCTCTCTCCCTTTCTCTCTCTCTCTCTCTCTCTCTCTCTCTCTCTCTCTCTTTCTCTCTCCCTCTCTCTCTCACACATTTTACTTTTAGAGATAGATCCCTAATTTTTGACGAGTCATCAATTCTCTATCTGTGTTGCGTTGGTTTTAACATTTATTTTGTCACAAAATAACGTGGTTTTTCCGAAATGCGTAATCTCAAATGCATAAGAATGTTGCTTCCTCACTTTTGCGTAATGTAAGTGCATTCTCTGGATTCTCCAACATTTTTATAGGTAGGCTCAATAAGTGGAACCAAAGTAAGAAAATTAAACTTCGCAAGGATGGCATCACTGAATTGATAGCTCTTGAAGAAAATAAATACAAGGTGCAAAATAAAACTTTTAATCCATAGGCGGCATCAATTTTTACTCTTAAAACTATTGTCACAAACCATTCTTCAGTCGCATTAATATTTCTGATGAAATATGCCTGATAACATAAAAAACAAAACTGTTGTTAATTAAAGAAGGGCAATGGTAATAATAAAATTCTAAATCATTACTTACATCTATACTTTTTTACTCTGTTTAATTTTTTTAATTGTTTGAATTGCTAAGCTAGATTGGCAATTTTTTTCGTTTTCAACACAAGCAAATCCAGCTACCGAAAGCGAATATCCTTTAACCCCTCAACGATCTTATTATTTTCAAGGAAATGGTCCCTATTTTTTTATTCAAGAAAATTATATAAAAAAAGGTGCTAGTAAAATCGATATATTCATTGTTAATTTTTGGATTTCTTTTTTTTAACCTGAAATTTAAAACATATATGTCCATGTGACTCTGACTCCATAATGTATGCAATATTAAAAAATATTTCATCACCGAAAACAAACGACGTTTATTTACTAAGAGCATAAGTAATTGAGCAAAGAGTACAAAATGCATATCACAAATACATATGATTGAATAGTGCTGACATCTAGTTTCAAATAAACTAACTATCTTCAGTTAGATTAAAATTAGATTGATGCAGCAATCTAGCCTGAAAAATAATAATAAAAAAATTCCAGGCATGAGAGATGGATATATTAAAGTTTTGTGCTGCCTTACTTTTGAATGCTTTATATCGGAAACGAAGGAAGTCGGAAGTAAAAGCACACCCCGTTAATTTGACGGGACCGAGAGGAAAAGGATTAAAACAAATGTTAAGATTCTGACTCTTCTAATATCCGATTTTTCACAATATAAAACAATAAATAAGAGGCTCAATACTGTGTGCACTATGCTTGTCAACTTCCGGCATTGCTGTCTTTATCTTTTGGAACGTTTCATTATAAGAACTCGGTTAGCTCTTTCAGTTTTTATACTAATGTATCTCAGTTTAGTAATGTATGAATAGTGGTACACTTTTTAAAATTAAATTCTTCGGAGAGCTGTAAAAAACTTTTTACCGTAATGAGCATTAAATACATTATTAAGTACATTAATATATCAGATACCTAATGCAAGAATACCATTATTACCTATTGCCACAATTAATAAAGAATCGCTGGTATCAATAAAAGTTTGGTAAATTTTTATTGATTTCCCAAAACTGAATTTTGCTTACATTTTTTTCACATGATTCAAACAAAACCACTAAAAAAGGTTAAAAAATGGAGAAAAAAACGTTAAAGCAAAAATTGTGATATAAAATTTATTAAAATGTGAGCAACTGGGCAATACAGGTAACAGGTAAAACGCGAGTTATTCTGAAAATTTGCATTAATAATTGTAAATTTGGGAAAAATTAAATGATACAATAAATCATCCTAACCTAAAAAAGGATGACTAGAATCTTAATTTATGGTAATAATAATTTGAAAGAAATATGGATGTGGAAAGAGACATTTTTTTCCCCTTACCTTGCTCACTCACTTGATATTTTAATTTTCACTACTTTGCTGCCAACTCGAAAACTGACTTTGACACAATAACATACATTTGCATTAGTGTTAACTGAATTTTACAATATTTTTATGGAAAGGACAATTTTTATTTGTTTACTAAAATTATTTACTCAGCCTATTATCTCTCTAATAAAATTTTAAATTTTATCTTCCTTTCATACATACGCATTCGCCAGTTGGAGTTTGTATTTTTAATAATCTTCCTTTTTTAAAAGAATTTGTGAACGTTTACACTAGGAGCAAATTATTATAAAATTGCTTATTTAATTATTTGTTAATTAAATTGAACTAATTTTAACCTCCTAAAGTAATTTTTTAAACTCGTAGCAATTCGTAATTATTTTGCATAATATTTAGCTATAAGACTAATATAAGACTAATTTATAATTAAGGTCTGAACAACATTATAGCTACAAAAATTCAATTTTAATGATAATAATAAGAAAAAAAAGTTATAAATATTTAGTAGGTAAAATATCAATTAACTGACTTACTTAACACATTTGGTTAATCACGACACTCAAACAAAACGAAAAATAAAAGATCTCTCCTACACAATCGCGACCGCCATCTATCCGCAAGCGCAATCAATAATTCTAATCTTAGGGGCACATCTTTTGATTGCCAGATAGTACACTAACTTTGTGCAGTCATCTGTCCACTTAAGTCTATTATTAGTTAATTAAAAATTCAAATCAAATCTGACAATTAAAATATATAATAACATACATACAGCCTAATATTATTAAAAATTAAAATCTGGAGTTGCAATTAAAACACTAGAAGGCCTTGCTCTTTATTTTCCACTTTTAACAATCAAGTTTATTGCTTCCGTAGGTTACAAAGATTTAATAGTGTAAGATCATTTAGCAAGTCAACAAAAATTTACAGACAAATTTTTATTGATGCATAACAGAAATTTTATAGCTGCCAGCATCAGTCTTATGTTCACACTAATCTCCTCTCATTTGTTTTTTAACTTTACCCGCACTTGCGTAAAGAAAAGCATTTTTAATTGAATGTATTTTCTGTACTTAATGTTAAGTATTTCATTAGAAACTTCTACGCGATTGAAAACCAACTAGGGACAATTTCAATGAATCTAGTTACTGTTTGTGCCATAGCCTTCGTATAACATATTAAAAAAGTCGTATATTTAAAATATAATTTCACAATAACTATTTGAACAATGCCGTTCAAATTTTTTATTTTATCATGCAAAACTACAATGAATAAAAAATTTATGAAGTAAAATGTTGTCAAAAATCTTGCAATCTTCTTGCAATTCAAAGCATTTTCAACTACTATTAATTAAAAAAATAATTAATAATTTATTTTTATTTTTTTGCATGGGATTATCTTTGGATAAACGACTTTTATAGTTGTGAACAAAAAATTTTGGACAAACGTTTACATAAGTAGTCAGAGAAGTTATGAGATTAAATAAAATGGGTTTTTATACTTAAAAATCGTTCTTATTATTTTTTACAAAATGAAAAAAAGAAAAGAAAACTGAGAAGAAAAATATGAAAGTGACTTCTTCAGTGCTGCCATCTAAAAGCCTTTTATAACACTGAAAGAAATGCCTTCATTTTGATCGAAAAATTCTTGGCAAGGGAAAAATTATTTAAATTTTATTAAAGTAATGAAAACAATTCTGTTAGAAAGTTCAATACCAAAAACTGAACAAGAGAGAAAAATTAATTATATATATACTGACCTATAGGAAGGTCAATCATAATAAACAAATTCAAAGGTCCTATGAAAAACTGAATTCGTGGCTTTTGAGATTTAGCTTTTTTTACAGTATTTTTTTTCTTTTTTTTTCTTTTGTTGTTTAAAAATTATTTGGATAATAAAATAATAAGTATGAAAAATACAGGATGATAATAACTTATATATGAATTTTTAAAATAAATTCAAATGCATAAAAAATAAAATAGATAAAATTTAATAAAAATAATAATTTTTAATAATAATGTTTCACAATTTTATTGTTGTAAAATATTAACTTTAGAAGCACAGAAAAAAATAGTGTCTATATAGCTCAACTAATATATTTTTTTAATTTATTTAATTGGTATTCGTTCGTAAGAATTAAAGTTAAAATATAGTAATAGCAATAATTGAACTGTTTGAGTTTGGCGCTCATTGTGTGTTGTTGCACACAGCAACGAATGGGATGTTTTCATCTTGACAGATGACCCTCTAGTGCAGGGATGGCGAACCAATGGCACGCGTGCCATCTAGGGCACGCGACACAATATTTTGGGCACGCTACCGATCACGAAGTTCCGATATGAAGCATAATAACAATTAAATTAAAATTCACAAAAAACTGAACAATTAAGGCCAAAAAAGCAATTAATAACCATAAAAAACCAAGCTAACAATAAATAACTAGCAAACTAATTAACAGTTTTGCTTAAACTAACATCTTATAACTCTAATATAAGTTATTTGTCATCTAATCTGCAACAACAGAAGTCACACTGATGTTACTTTAAGTTGAATTACGCGTATAACTGAGACATTGCAAAATGTATTTTATTTTGTAATAAATAGTTTTGAGTTGATAGTATTTAGTATTATTACTTACGCTATAATCACAAAGTCAAAACTATTTGTCGGCACGTCTATGACAACATAAAAATTTTTTTTAGAAAAAATGGCACGTTGGTGCATAAAGGTTCGCCACCCCTGCTCTAGTGGCTTGAAAACAACTCCTACAATTACTGATATAGTACTCAAAGTACTGAAAATGATACTGAACTGAACCGGTAAGGATTCTGAGAGCACTGATTCGATTTCTTGGCAATGCCTTCCGTCTACACCTTTTTGTAGCTCCTCCCAATAGTAATTTTTTAACATTTGTTCTTAGCAATTTGTTAACAATATTTAAGTCAATTATAAATCAG